ATGTTACAGACAAATGAGTCCAAAAAGAGTGGTAAAAAAATTGTTGAAAAAAAAAATATTTGTGAAAAACATTTTGAACAAAAAAAAAATATGTGGCATTTTGGTTGCTCCATAAAATGTGGGTAAGTGTATTTTAAAAATTTTACAAATACTAGATATAATTATAGACTGGACTAGGGTCGGCTGTGCGTGCACAGCCGGGTCCAATCTAGTATATATATATATATATATATAGAGAGAGAGAGAGAGAGAGAGAGTCAGTGATAATAGCTCTCATTAAATCTGTTTTTGCCATAATTAAGAAGAATTAACAGTTGCTCAATAATCTAGTATATTTGTAACTAAATATGACAATTTTAGTTAATTTGCAAATAAATATATATGAATTGTGAATATGTAATAAAAAATGTTTCTGTGAAGTGGAGGAGGTAAATTCTTCTATTTTAATAGTCTTTTCAAAGTTTTATAGTTACCATAATCATTGTCACTACATAACATTAGAATACAAAATATATGAGAATATAATTGAGAATATGATTGTTTTACAATATGATAAATATAAAATCGATATCATAACATTATTTTAACATCACCACCTATAATGTCATTGGAGCAAAATGCAACATTTAGAAAAGTGTGTGACATTCCACGTACAAATCACATTTTTCATTTTTTATTTTTACATATCTTACAACTTTGGCTTGTGCTGCTTTGTTTCTCTTCCCTGCCAAAGTTAACAAAAAAATTCATCCCCACAAAAAAAAAAAAAGGCTAGTGAGCTCAAAATTTGTGTAAATATTAGTAAAATATTATTACTCACCAGAGATATCCTATTTGCAGATAGCTCCCTCAAATAGTCACAAGGCTTGAAAAACCCTCCATATTCATTTGACCAAGTCACCATTCTTGAATATACATAATTTGGCCCAAATGAATTGGACCAGTAAATAATTCCTCCCCTGGATATTAGTAGTTCATTGAAAGTTATTAGTATCTTAGCAGTAGTTTATGGGAAATACACATAAAAAGGTAGGGCCTCGAGGAAAAACCTGTATGATGGGAACCCCATTCCGAGGACCGAGGCAACATCAAGATCAGATGACCTTATTACAATGCCTTCGGAGATTAAACGGCATGCTTCGTTTAGAACGGGAAATAAGATCATCTCGATCATCTCTTCCTCAGACAAGTTTGTCATCTTTTCCAAGGCCAAACAAATAAAAAACATAGAAAAAGGATACTGTATGGATTACAGACTAGAGGAACCGTGTAAAAGAGAAAAATGAATTATGTTGTGTGTGTGTGTGTCTGTGTGTGTGTGTGTGAGAGAGAGAGAGAGAGAGAGAGAGAGACCTTGAGGTCGCTGGTCATATTCAAGTCAGTCCTAGCTTTTCGAACGTAGTCCATAATCTTTGGATTTGGGCTAGCCTTGCCATGATTGTCATATTCATAGATTCCCTTACCATTACATTCACCTGTTTTAAATACGAATTTCAAAAGGCAGCATTGTTACTTTGCAGATACCCAAAAACCGGCCTAAAAGAAAAGAAAAATGTATGTCACCCAGAAGTCCTTCGTGTTGTAAAACTTTAATCAGTTTTGGCCTGTAAGATTTATCCCGGAGATTCTCGACAAATTTGTCACCTGTCACCTTGAAATCTTGAAATGAAACTATATCAATCATTCTGCAATAGAAAAACCATCAAGTCATCAACACAAATGGGTTAAAATAATGTCTGATAGTAAATGAGCATAATTTCTCAGTATCTAATAACAATTTAACTTGCCTATCGTTTCGATTTAAAAAAAAAAAAAAAAAAAAAAAAAAAAAAAAAAAAAAAAAAAAAGCAACAACAGCAACAACAATTTAACTTAGCTTTTACCTGAATGGACCCAATTGCATTCCAAAGCTTTGAAGAGTCTGATCAATCCGGTAAACATCCACACCGTGTTCAGCTATTAATAATGCCGAATGCAAATATGCAACCAACATATTGTCGACTGAATAGCCTTTCCTGTCACGGATGATAATTGGGGTTCTACGAATTTTTCTTGCGAAATATGTTAAATCAACTATTACTTGAGGTGATGTACTCTCTGTACGAACTATTTCCATAAGAGGTGTTACTGGCTGGAGGCTGCATTTCACAAGGTAATGAAAGAATTCAAGACAAATTCGGGCAGGACATTTGATTTTCTAATGGTACAAAATTACCAAAAACGGATCCCGGCAATCTGATTCTGGGATTTACTTCTTTCTCCAATCGATTTTAAGCTGAATCTTGAGGTATTGGTGGCAAAAATGCAATGTGGAGAACAAGATTTCTCGAGTTCAGCCAAAATCTCTTGCTTTAATGGTAAATTTTCAGATTCAGCCTGCCCAAAATTTTATATACAGTAAATTATTCAGCTTGTCAGAATTTAGTATTTACAAATATTTAACCACACTCATTGGATCACATATTTTTGACAAGATGCTATAGGATCTAGTATTTACAAAGAAAACATGAAAAAAAGGCAAGAAAAAACATCGTAATTCCTAGGGAATTATCAACTTACTCATCTGGCAGCTGTATAAAGAGTATGATGAATGGGAAAGATAATAAAGAAATGAAAGATGATAAATTTCTAAATTGAGTGCATGCTGAGCTATGTTTTTACCTCTATAGCTAAATCGATATCTTTGAGGTTCTCATAATCAAGAGCACCAGCTAACAGATTGAAAGCTTTCTCAACGCCTACTTGAGTTGCCTTCCCATTCTCGACATGAATTTGCAAATTTTCTGTCACAAAAGACAATAGCTTCAATAGAGTATTCATTATCCCACACACGTATAAGAAAAAGAACAACAAAATGAAGCCCGCCTTTCACTCTGCCGATCTCCTCCAACAGATTCTTCTTATTATCCAGCTTCAGAATGACTTGGTAATTTCTGAGGACCAACAAAGTAGCAATTTCGCAACTATTTAATCCCCCACCAATGACAGCAACCTTCTCTATTTTTCTTGGCCGAAGGTTCATCCTAGATATTTCAGGGATCTGATGTCCATTCCATTGATACAAGAAGCAACATAATAAAGTTAGATGACAAGCTCTTTTTGTATGTATGTCTCGACACGAGAATTTAACAAAGACATCCATTAAAGTGATAATTCCATTATGATACATGTATCTTGCATTTACTACTTGTAGAAACAGTTCTTATTTAATACAGATGAATTGGATGCTTATGATGAGCTATTGTCACTTTCATTTTAGAAAAGTAATCACTAAATTATCATGCCAGAGTTGATTAGAGAAAATATCAGACATGTGCAGAACCTTCAGAACTTCACGCTGAGCGAAAAATACATGTATAAGGCTCCTGCATGTATTAGATTGTCGAAGTTCTTCAAGAGCTTCTGCTTCCTGACACCAAGGCTAAATGTCATAAACTGCACATCACCACCAGAACAAAAAGAAAAAAGAAAAAAAAAAGAAACCATATGTCACCTTCCATAGGGCATTATGAGGGCCGCAAATTATTCCATGTTCAATGATATCGATACATACTAAAGGGTGAACAACATTTGGATTATCTTTCTGGACTTGCTGGCGGAATGACTTAAGTATTGCTCTAGCTTCTCTCAGGGGTTCTAATTTGTCGTTTCTGTAAAGACTAATCATCCATGGTTTTCTACACTCAAATGTATCCAGAGCCCACTGACAAGCTACTCCAAGAAGCTCATCTGCAGGAGCTAAGGCATCCACAAGGGACATATTTCGAGCCTCCTCACCATCTACTCGTTTCGACATCTGACAGTATAAAAACGAAGATTTTATGATATTTAGGGTAAAGAAAATGAGAACTTAAAACTGGAACCAAATGCACACCAGAATCATTTCGAGAGCTTTCCTAAGGCCCACAAGTCGTGGAAGTCTTTGTGTACCTGAATCACATTCCCATAATTAATTACTTCAAGATTT